TTTGGTGAGAATATCAATGATAAAAATCAAAAGATACAGCTCGACACTTCAAAATAAATTTGTACGAAATTTGTTTTCACAAATTCTGCACACAGCTCGAATAATCAGGCCGAAAAGCAGAAGTCCAATATGTAAAAAAGATACTATATGCACACACATTGTGTGCCGAATCTTCCATTTTTCGTCCCAACACGGGCCAGAGGCACCGCAAGAATTCAGTATGTGCGTGAGATTTTTATATCCATTCCAATCACGGAATATCACATGTATTACACACATTTATCTCGCATGTGCCTCTGAAAAAATTAATAGCAAAACAAGACTTTAGTATGTGAACTGTTGGATTATGTATTAGCAATTATTCCTAAGAACTATTGAAATGATCTCTCTTGAAATCAAATTATGCAAAAGGTAATTTAATTTTTACTATACTTACCAAGTCCACGAGCAGCTACATCAGTTGCAACTAAAATCGAACTTTTTCCACTTCTAAATTCTCTTAATACATAATCTCTCTCTTGCTGTGACTTGTCACCATGCATACAGACTGCAGGCCATCCATATCTACGAATATTGCGTGTAATATTTTCAACTTTCTTTTTGGTTTCTACAAAAATTATAGTTTTTGCTCCCTCTTCTTGCGTGTTACCAATTTCTTGTAATAAGTTGCTCAATCTAAAAGCAAGTTTTTCATTAGTTCACTAATAATGGATAATTACACAAAAATAATACAAAACTCATCAGTTCTTCTTAGAGGACAATTATTCATCAAGACATTATGTTTAAAAAATAGTATGCATCATTTGTTAAAGAGTACTGTTATGGAGTACATAATATTACATTACTTACTTTGTTTCCTTTTCATGTTCTTGACAAACATCTACAATTTGTAGAATATTGTGATTGGCCGACAGCTGTAAAGATCCTATATTAATTTGTACATAATCACCAAGATAATCTTCCGCTAGTTTTCTCACTTCTTTTGGCCAAGTAGCTGACCACATGCAAGTCTGTCTGTCAGGACGGATTTGTTCAATGATTTTGCGAATTTGAGGTTCAAAACCCATATCAAGCATACGATCAGCTTCATCAAGAACGAGATAAGTGCAGCGTTTTAGATTGGTACGCCCACTTTCAAGAAAATCAATAAGTCTTCCTGGAGTAGCAATAACAATTTCAACACCTCGTTCCAAATCTCTTGCTTGACTGCCTTTAGGTGCACCTCCAAAGACACAGGTGTTACGCACGTAGGAAAGACTTCCAAATTCTGTGGCTACTTGTTGAATTTGTTGTGCTAGTTCTCTGGTAGGAGCTAAGACTAAAGCAATAGGTCCATCTCCTCTGGATATGGAAGGTTGATTATTTATGTGTACTATAGCAGGTAGTATGTAACCTAAGGTTTTGCCAGAACCTGTAAACGTTAAAGTAAAATTTAAACTAAGCATCGAACACACATACAGAAAGTTAATAAAAAATTAATTATTACCTGTTTGAGCAATGCCAACCATATTTTTTCCACTCATTGCAATAGGCCATCCTTGTGCTTGAATAGCCGTGGGTTCTGTGTATCCTTGTTTTTTTATTCCTTGCATCACATAATCAGGAAAGTTGGCTTCTTCAAAGTACTGGATTGGATTAGGAGCATCTCCATGAACTGTGATTTCTTTAGCATTGCGGTACTCTTCAACTTCGCGATAAGAGCGGTTGGCGACATTCGGATGAGGGCAATAGAAGTCCTTCTTGAAAGGTTTCAAAAATTCGGAACTCCAATTAGGTTTAGTCATTTTTGAGCCACCGAAACTATCTTTCGAACCGCGGCTAAATCCTCCATTCCGATTTCCGTAACCATTACTGGAGCTATTGCCGTATCCACCACTACGATTGCCTCGACTCGAGTTAAATCCATTAGAGCGATTGCCGTAGCTGCTGCTTTTTCCACCATAACCGTTCTCGTTTCCGTAAGTCCTAACACAATTAATCAATAAATGATTAAACGTAATGGCGGATCCATGCAATGCATGGATGTTTGAGTTTCGCCATTAATACATATATTATATAAAACGGTATAAACTATATTTACACATTTAAAAGAATTCGAAATTAATAATGAATCTGATTAACAAAACAACAAATGAACGAAGACTAAAAGAAATTAATGACACACGTGCCAGTTATTTCAACGCTGCTAAAAATGGCGGACAGACGCCATGATAAAAATGTACATTTGAGATATAATTTTTTTTCACATAAAATGATTTTGGGAAAAAAAATAAGTACACGAATTAACTAAAACAGTGATTTCATTCCACTTACATGTCAAATTGTTGAAGATGCCTGATCGATGTAGAAATAAAAGTAGATGGTTGAGTTATTGATTTTCCAATTAGCCGCACTTGTCTGAAATCAAGCCGAAGTTTTGTTAAACTTTTGATTACCGCAAACATTTTCACTAATTTGATAACATTAAAAGTAATTACACGATAAAACAAAACTTCCTATATAAAATATGTTACAATATAAAGCACAACGTGCAACGTCGGCATATTACACAAGAAAGAACTTGAACTTACCAAAGCCACGGCTTGAATTAAAAGAAAGAACTTCTCAAACATCCGACTCGATATTTATATAAGTGTTATCCGATAGGACTTCTAGTTCTGTTACAAACTTCACTTGTATCTGTAGCTTCTCAAAATTTATATATTTTTTTTTATTTTACTTTAGTTATTTGAAAATCATTTATGTCCTGAATAACTAATTAATAATGATAATTAATAATATGTGATATTCACACATATTCTCAAAACCGTATTATCAAATCTGTTACAACAATCATAATTATCATTATCTATAATCATAATTATCAGAAACAAAGATTATTTATATATTATCTATTTAATATTCATGTATTTATAATTTAAAGCTATGAATTAATTATTAAAATACTGCTAAAGAACATTGAATATCAGGAGTGAGATTTTTGCTACGATATGGCAATACCAATAGACACCGCCTGAAAACGTCAGTTGACGTCATCATATATCATTAATAACATTATTTATTAAGCCGCTTAATATTGTTTTTTTTATTGATTATTTTTTTTATAATTATTATGTTATTACAAATGGAATTTTGAAATAAAACCGCATAAAAAAACTTTTCCATCAAGTTACTCAAATAATGCTTTTGATGCAAAATTTTATCTATTATCTCTAAATGATATCAGTAATCATTATTTTGCTATGAACTACGTCGATATTTTTATTGCTTACGCATAGTATTATGTGCCATATGCTTTTAATACATAAACGTTGCGATTGTTTCGTTTAATTATTAATTAGAAAACACAATGAGGGCTCTTATATTAGTTGGGGGCTACGGTACTAGATTGCGACCGTTAACATTAAGCCGTCCGAAGCCTTTAGTGGAGTTTGCAAATAAGCCTATATTATTACATCAAATTGAAGCCTTAGTTGGTGCTGGTGTTACTCAAGTAAATAAAACCTTACAAAAAGTATCTATTATTTTATATTTATTGATGTTATTTTTTCGTGTACCAGGTAATATTAGCAGTTTCATATCGCGCTGAGCAAATGGAAAAGGAGTTAAAAGAAGAAGTAGATAAGTTAGGTGTATCATTAGTGTTTTCACATGAGTCTGAACCATTAGGTACAGCTGGCCCCCTTGCTTTAGCAAAGTCAATTTTGGAATCTAGTTCTGAACCTTTCTTTGTTTTAAATTCTGATATTATATGCGACTTTCCATTTAGAGAATTAGCATCATTTCACAAAAGTCATGGTAAGGTAAGAGAATACATTTAAAAATATTTTTCATATCAATATTGTATCAAATTGTCAAAAATATTTTTTTATAGGAAGGTACAATTGTAGTAACAAAAGTAAGTGAACCTTCAAAGTATGGTGTTGTTGTTTATAATGAGGGAGGCTGCATTCAAAGTTTTATAGAAAAACCTCAAGAATTTGTTTCAAATAAAATCAATGCTGGTAATTATTAATATACCAAATCTTCAAATAGTTTCTACATAAGTACATAAATTTTTACATTTTATAAATAAATGAAAGCAGTTTATTATGATTTTTTTAGGTATGTATATTTTAAATCCAAGTGTTTTAAAAAGAATAGAGTTAAAACCAACTTCAATTGAAAAAGAAGTTTTTCCTAAAATGTGTTCAGATAAAGAACTTTATGCTTTCGAATTGCAAGGGTTTTGGATGGATATTGGACAACCTAAAGATTTTTTAACAGGTTAGAGATGACTTATTATTTGTTTTCAAATAATGTTTGTATGAAGCAGATGTTTTGGTTAGTTGCGTAGTAGTGTAATATCAACACTCATGTCCTATTTCAATTGTTAATGTCAATTTCTTTACAAATCGTGAGAAATTATGTAATTAAAAATATAAAATTAGTATTTATATAATTTTGTTTAGGTATGGCTTTATACCTGGGTAGTCTCCGAAAGAAAAGTCCAGAGTTACTATATGCAGGTCCTGGAGTGGTGGGAAATGCTCTGGTAGACCCTACTGCACAAATTGGCATTGGCTGCCAAATTGGTCCAAATGTTACAATAGGACCTGGTGTTGTTATTGAAGATGGTAGGTGTAACATATTTGATTAATTTTCATATTTAAGATTGTTTGTCCGTATAAAGTCTCAAAACAAATGCATTATTACACTAACTATTCAGGTTTTCCTCATTGCTCAAATAATTCATACTTCAAAGCTAAAAGTATAAGCCCTAATTCGTACCAAAAGGATTTTGATTTTGAAACTTGTTCCCAGTTTGCATGCAAAACATAGTGAATAAAAAATGCACATTTTACATGAATAAAAAAAGTGTCAAGATGAAAATTAAAATAATTTTAGGCGCTTGTATTAAGAGGAGCACAATACTGAGAGAGGCAAAAGTTAGATCACATTCCTGGCTGGACGGTTGTATTATTGGATGGAGATCTGATGTGGGAAAGTGGGTTCGAATGGAAGGTACAACTGTACTAGGAGAGGATGTAATTGTTAAAGATGAACTATACATCAATGGTGGCCAAGTTTTACCTCATAAATCTATTGCAAATTCAGTCCCTGATCCACAAATTATTATGTGACTGACTACTTTTAATATATTTTAATATATTTATACTATGACTAAATTTTAAACTTTATATTAAAAAATATAATATATTTAAAAATAACAATCAAATTTAAAATAAAGATATATGATTTATTTATTTTTCATATATTTTACAGTCATGAGAATTTAATATGCGTCATATATCTGTCTTATATTACTTCTAAAAACTATTTTTGCATCATAATTATCAAGCTAAATGCAGCCACATCATGTTTATTTTACTTCGAATATGCTTTCTTAGCAATATTTAAAATTAGAAGCAAAAGTACATACACTGAAAGATAATTCAGTTGTGGGGTCGACTATTGCCTTAGATACCGTCAGTAGTTTAAGGTATTGACACTGCAGGTAACAGTAGAATCAATTAGCTTGAGCGTTTACCAGAACCAAATGAACAATGAGGTGTAGTGTTGTGGATAAAAACAGCATTATTAACTCACGTATCCCATGTTTTTCATTTTTTCCTACATACGACCTAATGAAATTTAAAAACATATGATGACATTTTTCTAAGGACGCATTGGACTCTGGATGATAAATTGATATTTCCTATTTTCAAGAGCTTACATGTCTCTTTAAATATTGTACTCATAAATCTTGTTCCTTGATCTGTTAAAACTGCTTTTGGTATACCAAATCTAAGAGTTATTTCATTTACGAATGCTTTGGCTATGATTTAGTTTGGTGTCATTATTCGGTATAGGTACAGCGCCTGCAAATTTAGTTAAATCATCAATAAATGAGAACTTATTTGCATATTGCATTTTGCAAATAAGCTTCCATCTTAGTTAGAGCAAGACTCCAAATTTCTTGTAACAAATTTTTTAAACGCTCATTTTCTGCAAGTTATATCTTTTCTGTTGTCAATATCAGGATTACACCCTAACTAAATTTTTGTGCTTATTTTTTATTTATTTGTGTATAAAAACAAAACTTTGAAAAAGGTTATTATTAAACATTTGTTTTCCAAATTATATGCCATTTAATATAGATCTTCGAAATATGTATATAAGTTACAAATCATCTATAATATCTACAATTGTATAATTGTATAATCAAATCTTTCCTAACTACTGCTAAAACTATTAAGAAGCATAGTGAAAATTTGGATTACAAATAGCAAAGCCTTGTGGCTAGTCAATATGTTAAGACTTATGCACAACTTTAAACAGTATAGCGGCATTGCGGATTTCCAAATAAATAACACGCCAAAACAAAATGATCACTCTTGTAAATTCATTCAGACTTTATGGAGATGATATTTGATTACTATCTTTATCACTTTACTACTATTTATCAAGATGCAATTCGACATCTTCAAGGTAAGCTTCAACCTCTGATAATCCATAATAAAATAATAAACAAAAAAAAAAAGCATTCAAAGTTTCTAAGCAACTGTTTTCAGAGCTGAGCAATATGTATTTTAAAAACACTTAAATATTATGAAGTTGATCCTGAAATTATTGTACAGACATTTAAACAATTGTTCTACTTCATATGTGGTACATCACTCAATAATCTATTGCTGAGAAAAAACTTGTGCCACTGGTCAAAAGGAACGCAATTATGATACAATTTAATACATTTAGAAATGTGGACTTGCGATTACAAGTTCATTACTTAATAATACTTTATATAAAAATTAATGCTAAATTAAAATTTATTAATAATATTTGGTTAATTTGTCATAATTATTAAAAATAAAGCCTTTATCAAAAGAGAATATATATCCCCATAGCTCTAAGGCTTAAATACTTGAACTTTTTAAATGGAATATAAATTCATATTATTCTGAATGGAATATAGATTCATATTTATAAACATTACGTTTATAAATATTTTCTGAAATAAATAAATTTATTATGAATTATAGAAAAATTCTAAATTATTTTTTCTTATTTTTTCCAAGTGTTAACGTATTGTGGGACATTGCCATTTGATGTTTTCTTCGATTAAATTCTATTATTTCATCTTCAAGATTTTTACGATTTTCTTCAAGTTTTCGTTTTTCTTCAGCATGATCCTTCTTTAATTTGTCAAATTTGGAATGTAACTATAATTATTCAATTAAATTTTAGTTTTAAATCCTTAAAATCATAATAAATATTGTTGCTGTACCTCTTTTTCTGCTTCTTTTAACTCTGCTTCCTTCTCTTTAACTCGAACTACAAACATCTGTCTCATTTCATCCTCTTTATGTTGAAGTTCTTGCAAATGATGGGTGCGTTTAGCTTCAAAAGTTTGTTGAAAACTCACCTATCATTTAAAAAATGCTATGATTTATACTTATATTAGCAAATAATTACTAAGCCTTTTTATTATATTACTCACAGGCTTATTTTCATTGTCCACATCTGTAAAACCCATTTGTTCAAGACGTTTTTTACGATAAAGTTCATAATGTTTGCCATGTGTCTTTTCCCTCATATCTTCCATATTGGTACGAATTAACATTTCACGTAGCTTGACAAAGTCGCAATGAGCTTCATTCTCCACTATAAAATAATTTAATAATGAAAATTTAATATATTTTATGGCATGCTAATTTAAGGCTTACAGTGAAAATATAAACACATTTATTTACACAATAAAAAAATGAATAACTTTAGGTTAAATTGGGCTGTTTTTAAAGAAAAAGCTGAGTCTTTAAGAATGCAATATATATATAAGTTTGATTACAATATCAGAATTTTCTAGTCATAAACTGATTTGGATTATTCATAAACATTGATCAGTATCAGCATTGCAAGGAGACTATAACATAACTTAAGAGATACAGACATGTAAAACAATTACTTTTACAATTATTTTTACAATATTTGTTCAGTATCAATATCAAGCACGTTAATAATGTATCATTCAGTTTTCATTAAAACCTTCATAATAATTTAGTCTTTCAAAAAACCAGTTTAATCTAAGTATTCATTAATTTTAAATATACTATTCAATATACGAGGTCTGTTCAAAAAGTTTTCGTAATTTTCGTTTTTTCAAAAAAATATTTATTTATTCGTCTACATTAATGTGGTCCCCTTCAAAGTAGTCCCCCCCAGATATAATACACTTATGCCAGCGTTTTTTCCAATTTTCGAAGCACCCTTGATATTCACTTTTTGATATGTCCTTGAGCACTCTCAGCGATTTTCTTCAATCGAGGAAAACCGCCGTCCTTTCATGGGTCTCTTCAACTTTGGGAATAGGAAAAAGTCACACGGAGCCATATCTGGTGAATTTTCGCACTTTGCAACACTTTATTTCATTTTTTACGCAAAATTTAATACAAATTCTTTGACTTTTTCAATTCTTCCATTGTAAAAATCGCCGAGCTCAGAAAAACACGTCGAACCTTAGCGACTACCACAGACAAAGTAAACAGTGAATATAGCTGAAAATTTCATCATACTTTAGGGGCATGTATACCAACACAATAAAAAAAAAATTTTGACAATCAGACACTCCAGACCCGCGAAATTTAATTATTAGTAATTCCGGGTACTTTTTGAACAGACCATGTATTTCAAAACTGAATAATAGTTGAATAAGCAATTTATGATTGTATATCTATACAAATTTATTATTTGTATTAACTTTTGATGTGCATATAATTATTTCCTAGTACATATTTTAAATTTTAGATTTACTTATTATTTCTCTGTAATTTGTTTAAGATGATTATGTGTATACCACAAGTTTTGTTTATGCTACAATATATTTATAAAGATGTAAGGTAAATCCAGAATTTGAATGAATTATCATATTTTGTATTGATTACTTATTTAACAAAATATCTGTTAATATTCAATAACAATGAATACAAAGAAGAGTCAAATTTTATTACTCTGTAGTTTTATTTACCTTGAACAGTTCCCCATGGATATTGACGAGAGCGCACCATTTTATTTCCAACTCGAACAAATTCAGTTGAACCAACAACAGCAAAAGGTAAGTGAGAATTCATAGATGAATTGACTTCTGACACTGATTCATCATCTGTTGGAAATTGATAAATACGCACATCATTTGCTTCCAACTCTTGACAAATCTTAGCCTGGAAGGAAAGCAAACGTTTAACACAATAATCACAAAATTAATTAGATCCTATTATAAACATTTACCTTAAATTTTTGAAGTTCTGTTTTACTAATAGTATCAGCTTTTGCTATGATTGGAATGATATTGACTTTGGTATCAAGTTTTTTCATGCAAACAAGATCAATGGATTTCAAACCATGTCCAGTCGGGCAAATAAAGTATAAGCAAACATGAATTCTTCCATCTGGGCAATTTGCAAGAGATCTTTTAATTTTCAATTCCTCTTGAAGAAATGCCTCAAATTGGGCATCAATATAATCAACAACTGCTTTAAAACTATCCTCTTTATTAATTTGGTCACCATAACCAATAGTGTCACAAATTGTCAACTATAAAGATCATTATTATATCACTTTGTTATACAAGCACATATTGTATGTTTGGTCTATCTTTATTAATTAAGATAGCTAACTAAAACTACAAACTTATTTACTGCCATTGACATTTTCTTTAAAAATATTTTAAATATTGAAATATTACTTTCTAAATGGTCTTATTCTATTAATCTATTCACTACATCTTTTTTATTATTAGCACAAATTGTAATTATTTATCAATAATTTTACAATGATTAATAATTATTAAGATAATATAAAATATATGATCAAACCTTTAGTTTAACATTGCTTTCTTGCAACTCATATGTATGAGCCTTTAGTCTCACATTTGGTAAAGAATGGGGACTCGGTTGAGATTCAAAGTTTGTATTAAACAAAGTATCCATCAATGTTGATTTGCCAAGACCTGTTTCGCCAATGCACATAATATTGAAGACAAATCCAGTTTGAACACTTTTGTTCACTAGCTGATCGGGTAGACTATCAAAACCAACATGCCCACTCAACTTTAAAATTCGAGGCGATTCCTTTTAAAATAAGATAAAGTCATTTAATGATAACCTTTTTGGTATATACATATATAATATAAATATCATTCAAAATATCTATCTCAAACTTATTTGAAAATAATTACTATTCAATATAAGACTGTCAAAATAGAAATAATGTGAATTACCATTATAGTTGAAGTTTCATTTCATTGGTTGATAAACATAACAAAACATATAAAAATATATTTTTTAAATATTGTTTTTTTTTACCATATATGTAGAGAAAAATACTTTAATTAATAACTTAAACTCAAATTTGATATCCGGGAAATTTTAATTTATTTTTAATTATTTCACTAAATGATAAATTTTTCTAATCATTCAAGATTAACATTGTACAAATTCTGAGCAAGAAAAATTTGAATACATGTTACATATTAGAGGTTTTGTTTATTATTATTTACATATTAGTATTCATTATTTATTTGACTTCATACTATGATCACCGTTAGAAGCGCCTTAAATAATAAAAATTTAAATTGTATAATCTAATAAAGGATTGTGCTAGTTACTCATTGCCTAATTCAGAACTAATACACATTCCATTCCAATTATTGTTCACAAATATATTTTATTTCTTTAAACACTTTCACAAGATGCTTAAATTAACATAAAAGAGAAAAATTTACATTTTAATTTATCAAGAGAAAGCATAAATTGATCTCACCTTCGTAGGTTCGGCATCTCCCGAAGATACAGTATTTTCGTTTGATAATGTCATTTTGAGTTTGAAATTCTGTTCAAAACACCAATGTTGTTTATGAAATATTAACTTAAACAATATATAAACCTATATAGCTTTTCTATAAAATAAATAAACAAATTAATATTTCACAATATTTGTCACAAAACTTGACAAGCACAATCAAGACAAAGACCACAAAGTATAAACATAAACGAACTATGTCTCGAACACTCCACACCCTCACCAAACGCTTTTGTGACAGGCTTGCGCCTTTCGGCACTTTCGGCACATGTTCGGCACACCTCGCAAAAAAAGTTATCGATAATTATCGTATGCACCGATAATTGACGTATTCAAATATTTGCGCTAAACGTAAATAAGTTCAAGATTAATAATTAAAATTTAACTAGCTGTAAGTGGAATTCTGTCTTAAGGCAATTAGGGCATCGTGCCTTAAGGCAAATTGCTGGAACTTCCCGTACCAAAAATTATTATTTTTTTAAAAACGATTAACATTTTTGAAAAAAAATTAATTAAAAAAAAATAAGATTTCTGAGAAACTATAAATTTGACAAAAAATTACTTTTTTTTGAAAAAAAAAATTTATATGAAAAAAAAATTTTTTTTTGAAAAAAAAATTTTTTTTTGGATACAAAAAATTTTTTTGAAAAAAATGTTTTCTTCATTTTGACATATTTTGGAAATTCTGAACTTTTTTTCAAAGCAATCGCACTGCTTGAACTGCATAGAGACGAAATGTCAAAGCGCGCATGTGCCGCGCCGCCGTCTAACGCATAAGCATTGGTACGGAACCCATAAAAATGTAAAAAAAAATATACTTATTGTTAAAATCTCTATAAAATATCTGATAATTTGATGTGCATATGTCTAATGATAATTTTTAACCGCCGAATGGCATTATTTTTTACTTTTTTCATTAGATCTCCGAAACCGCTAGACCTGCCTCCATGAAAATTTGATCAATGCTACATCTTGTCAATACAAGTAAAATGTTTTTTGAATTATTCAAATCGGACGCTCCGTTCTCTTAAAAACGGAGGTACCGTTCTTGGCACTTTTTGCCCCGTATCTTCGGAACGGCTAGACCTGCCTTTGCCAAAAACTAATCAGCACGTCTCCTTATCAATACGAATCGAATGTTTTTTGAATTATTCAAATCGGTTGATCCGTGTTCCCAAAATCGTCGACGAAAATTTGTATCCGCACATACATACACACACATACATACATACATACATACATACACACACACACACACACACACACACACACATACATCCATTTTTTCTAAGGTATGCCAAAATGTTCAGAAGGTTTTGAAACGTCGAGAAATGCAAAAATTTTCATTTTCGATTTTTTTGCGATTACTATAACTTACCCTACGGGAAGTTAATAAAAGTCTTTGTTAAAAACAATATTGACTTAAATATTAAAGATTTTTTGCAATTACTATTACTTACCTTACGGAAAGTTAATATCATTAATTTAATTATCCAAGTTTTAATTTTAAGAATTTCTAATTAATATTTTTAAATTCAGAAAAAATCTAAATGCTGAGTTAATGAATTTTCTTTACCCTGTTCTCTTCTTTTATCTGTGTTATTCACTCTGTGTACAATTTAATAAAATCCATGATAAAGAAATATTTTCTGAGTATAAAAACAATTAAGTACAGAAATCAGTGATGTGCTACTATTTTTTTAAATCATTATATGAAAATAATGTATATATGTAAATAAAATAAATAAATATGATTTTAAATTATATGATTTACCCTTGCGGTTAAAACTTTAATCCCAATCTCAAAAAAATTAAAATTGTGTTTGCCAAACCTTTATTAAAATAAGTTATGAAGTTATAACTTCAAATTTATCGATTTGTATATTAATATATTAATATACAAATCGATAAATTTGCTATATTTGATAGAAATTTCGTAAATATACCAAATAAGCAATTGATATTGAAATTTGTTTATTTAGGCAATATTTTAAATCAAAACATTTGCTTTATTTATAATGCCTATTATAAAAAATAAGAGTTTTTCAGCTATCGATAAAATATTGTCGTAAATCTTTACAATCGATATGGTTTCTTGTCAGCGGTCATTACTGTCATAAAATGTATCCAAAGAAAAAAGTGTTTTGAAAACAATAACATAATATAATTGTGTTATTTAATGATTAAAGGAAAATTTATATGGAATCATGTTATAGCAATGATGTTATATGTATTGGAAACGTTATCATATGTCGCTAGTCGACAAAAATAAATATACATCATTTATAAACAACGTTATCAATTTTGCTATATTAATCATTTTATTTAGCTACTTTAGTCATGTTCTATTCGTAGCCTGTTTATAAAGTTAGCACATAAATTGACATAAACAAACATAAAATATGCAATTTATAGACACATGAAATTAGTTGTTTTAGACTATTTTTCAATTTGGATAAATTTATAAAAATGGCTAAAATCAAAGTATATTTAATGACTGGATCAGAAATTGATCTATCTTATAATAATGCAGAAACTGCTGAAGATGTTTGTTTGAATTTATGTAAAAGGCTCAATTTTCCACCATCATCAAAATGCATATTTGGTCTACGCTTATTTGACAATGTGGGAAAACGAAAAGTTTGGCTAGCCCCAAGTTCCAAGATAGACAAAAATGAAAAATATGAGCTTCGAATTAGATTTAAGGTAAGCACTTTAGAAACAATTCTCTTATTTTTCTAAGAAACAGTTATTAATATATCATTTCTTTAAGGTTTCCAGTTTATCTCGCCTATTCAATATTGATCAAAACGTTTATGATTATTTCTTTCATCAAGCTCGAAGAGATATATTGAGTAATGATGTTGCTGAAATTAATTACACAGAACAAAAAGGCGAATTACTTGGCCTTAGTGTAACTGATATGTGTCGAGAAATGATTGAACATAATTTGTCAGCAGAAGAAATAAAAAGAAATTTTAAAAAATACATCCCACGTGAAATAGTTAAAAAGAATTTGTCATCTTATTATATTAAAAAAACTATTCAAGAATCTCTAGAAGTATTAAAGAAAACAAAGTGGGATATTTGGTAAGTAAAATATTAATGTACATTCGTCTCTGTGAAATATAGAATCGAAAGTACAATCTCTTAATGTTTACACTATTTACTTTATCTCAGCATTTCAAAAGTTTTTTTCTTGTCTATTTTCTATTGTATATAAATGCAATTGCTAAAAATTTGCAATTAAAATGATTGGGAGAGCCTAATTCCTAACTGTATTTTTTTATGTCTCTTGAAGGTTTTATAATAACAATTCTATTTTCAATTGTTACTTCTAATGAATTTGTTTTATAGGTATATGAAGAAAGAATATTTAAAACAGCTAGATAAAATGGCACCGAACTATTTATCAGAAGAATATGTAGCTACTGCAGATACTGGTGAAGCAGTTTTTTTAAGACTATCTCCGTATCATTTGGAGTTTCCTGGACTCCAAATTTCATACACATCTGGAAAAGATGTAATTAGATTTATATTATAATTAAGAAAAATAATTTAGATATGGGATCTTATATTTTATTAACTTCCAGTGGCAACACCTTTGTTCCATTCAGGATCTTTGTTTTGTTTCAAAACGAGATGATGGAACTGTAGAAATTTCTAGAAAAAATGGTATTCCATTATATCTAAAGTTTCACTCAGTTCCTACCATGGATTCATTTATAAGTCTTCTTGATGGATACTACAGGTATTTCATGATTGTTATAAGCAAAATGATATTTCTTTGTGTCTAAACAAAGTATATTATAATTTTTCTAGATTGATGGTTAAATGGACTTTTAATTTATGTAAGGAATTAGCGACACCATCTTTGAAAACTTTACATTTAAGGAAATGTCATGGACCAGTTGGGTTAGTTATGAATATAATTTATTGGATTCTTCCTTTAATTGATTTGAGAAATCATTGTATATTATCATCATAATTCAAATGTGATACGTTTCAATGCTCATAATTTAATGTGAATTTTCATTAATATTGTAGAGGTCAATTTTCTTATGCTAAGTTAGCAGAAAAAAGGAATAACAGATATGGAAGTTATGTAGTTAGGGAATGTGAGCAATATTATAATACATATTATATCGATGCTTGTTCTGAAAGGTAAACCACACCTCTAGTTTTATATTATGAGATTATGAATAGTATATTTGTACCAAATCAATTTATATTGTAGTGGAAATCCAGAAACTTTCAAAGTTGAGCTGCAAAGTGAAAAATGGAAGCTTTATGTAGATCCAGAAAGTAAATCATACAATAGCTTAAAGGATTTAATTACTGATCACAACGATCCAAGAAAGAGACCTTATCTTATTGATTGTGTACCTCCATCAGAATATGGTAAATAATATTAATAATATTTGGTTAGAATCAACCACATAAATTTAATTATTTTTTCATTATAAAATTAAAGATAGATCACCTTTATTGCTGTGTGAACCTAAATTGTGTGTTGATAGTAAAGCTGACGTTAATGATTTTCAAGATTTACTAATTTCACCTCACTGCATTAATCCAAGAGATATTCAATACTTCAAAAGTAAGTAACTTGTTTTTTATTTTTAAACATTGACCATTTAAACCAATATATGCACCAAAAGTATCATAGTTAATTCTTTTTTTTATTTAAAAAGAAATAGATTGTCTAGTTCCACTAGAATGCTTGATCAGAATTGAATTTATAACTAGCTATTATTTTAAAGCTTGCCATTATAGCTCATCATTGTTTGATCATGGTATTTACTAATATTTAAGAAAATGCAGTGATAGTGCGCAGTGTTTTTTATTGTGTTTTATTATATAGTGGTTTTACATAAAAGTGGTAGTGCATAAAAATAAAATTGCATTTCAGTGGTTTAAACGACAACATGTGATAAAAAAGTGCAAAGTGTAAAATTATTTTTAAGTGTATTATTAATTAATAAGCAATTGATGGAACTTTTGAGAATAAAGACTGAACCATTGCTGTCTTGCAGAAGTTTTAGGTAAGTTATTTAGGATAAGACCTTCTAAATAATTCAATAAAGCGAAATGAATTTTCATTTAAATTGGACATTATGAAATTCAGTCAATTTTAGAATTTGGAATAGCCAATATTATAAATTATTTCATATAAATCTTTTCATTGTAAATATGGTAATATTTTTATTTATTATTCATTGACAAAGAAAAGTTTTTTTTTAACTTCCCGTAGGGTAGTTATAGTAATGGGCTGAAAATCGAAAATGAAAATTTTTGCATTTTTCGACGTTTTGAAGGTTTCTGAACCGTCTTGAATGGTTCTTCAAATTAACCGATTTGAATGGTTCAAAAAACATTCGATTCCTATTGATAGGGAGATGTGCTGATTAGTTTTTAGCAAAGGCAGCTCCAACCGTTACGGAGATACAGAATAAAGAGGGCAGTAAATACAAATCGAGTTTTTGAGAGAACGGAGTATTCGATTTGAATGATCTAAAAAACATTCAATTTGTAATGATTGGGAGAAGAGGTGATTAGTTTTTAGCAAAGGCAGGTCCAGCCATTTCGAAGATACAGAGTTAAATGTACAAAAATGGCTGTTTTTGAGAGAAATAAGCATCAGATTCAAAAATTCATCAATGATTCAAAAAACTTTCTGCTTGTGTTGACGAAACAATTGCTTTTGGAAAAAAAAAATCATTTTTTTTTATCAAAAATAATTCAGATTTCAATTTTAATTCTGGCTAAAGTTTTAAAGCTCACTTATATACTTTAAATAAATAATTTCCACTATGTGATTCAGTTTATACAATTCTTATAAATATTAGAAATGTTACAATATTTATAAGAATCTATTTGAAAACATTTAATATTGTCGAATATTACGTTACGGTACAGGAAGTTCCAGCAATTTGCCTTAAGACACGATGCCGTACACCACTAGTTGTATTTATTATTCATTGACAAAGAATTTTTTTTAAATATTCTGTTACTGTTACCCAAATATAATTATTGAATTTTCCTTGTTTCCTCAAACATTGAAAACAATTGACTATCAATCACTAAGAATTAGTTTTCAATTAATCATTGAGAATTACATTTTTCTTCAGTAAAATTAACTAAGTTAAAAAAATAGAATGATTATCATTATATTGATAATACTATTAAAGACTTATAAATCTGAGTGCTCTGATATAAATAGTACAAATTTAGATCGGTGTAAAGTGAGCCATTTAGGGGTGGAATTTTCAGGATCTGTTGCCGTGTCTGGGGCATTTCTTAGATGCCAAAAGTGGAAACCAATTCAACCTATTCATCCTGTTAGTCCAGATATTAAAGGTCGAAAGGATGCTCGTTTATAATTATAAACAAATGTTTTAAATTTTATATTTTATTAATACCATAGGCTTTCCGATTCTAACATTATATTTAAATTTTACATTCAAATAAGTATGTTTTGAATAATATATGTTATTAGGACAACTAATAACATTTATTATTCATTCACTTAATTAACTGAAAGTGCAAAGCTTGTAATTAAGAAAGAATTGATTTAAAATTTATAGGTTAACATTGTTAACAGTCACATTACAGAAACAAATTCACAATTACACAAGTAAATTTTCTAGAGGATTTTCTCTACTGTAATTGTAGCTTTGTATAATACTAGGAGCACTAGGAGATTTTATTGGTTTCGTTGGTTTGTTTGTTTGATTGTGTTGGATGTTTTCGTAGACGAGGATTTTCCTGAACGATCTATGGAATTAGCAGAAAATTTTTGTCGAAACCCCACTAAACGCCCTACAGGGCCCTGGTGTTATACCTTAGATCCGAATGTCATTGACGATTCTTGCGAAATACCTTTATGTTCCTTTAAGGGTTGCAAATTAACAGGCCCAGGTGATGAAATTTATAAAAAGTTGATTTTTTAATAAATAAAATAACATATAACACTTAGGGATGGAGTATAGTGGTACTATGGAAAAGTCTGTAACATCTCGAAAATGCAAACGGTGGCGCAAGAAGTTGAAAAAAATCAGAACATTTGGGAATATTGTGCAAGGTGTGGAATTTAAGGATTATTTGTTTCCTGAACGTTCAAATAATAAAGCTATGGATTTTTGTCGCAATCCAGATGGAGATATTGGTAATTAAACCGATTTAATTTGATGAATGAATTTGAAAGGGTAAACCCCTTACTAATTTAGTCTAACTTTGAGAGTTACATAAATGTTTATTATTTGAAAACGGTTATTGTGATCATTATGGGGGTATTCTTGTCTATATACGATTTTGAAAAACCGTAAAACGGCAAATAATATTTTTATTATGTTAATTCTTTACAAGTTATTACCCAATGTTTTGAGAATATATAAAACAAATAGTCGCAAAGTTTTAATTCTAGAAGGTGATGAAGTGGAGGATCTCAAAAAAGTGGTATCTAGCCATACTCATATGATTTCAAAGCTCTCCCAACAATCTGATAATATATATATATATATATATATATATATATATATATATATATATTTAATCTAGGATAATGTCGCAATCGCATGAACTACAGATAAGTTTACTCAAAAAATGTTTTTTGACAAAGTAGAGACTGTTTGAAACAAATTTATAACTTTGTTTGGTATTCTCGAATTTTATTAAAAATGGTTGAAATCAGAATTTGAAGATAATTGTAGTTAATACACATAGAACACTCTGTAAAAATTTCTAGTAATTCGGTCCAGTAGAATTTGAGAAATCGTGGTTATAATATCGCAAAGACAGTTTTGAGAAAAACACGTTTAAAGTTTCGCAGACGAAGGCAACAGTTGGTCAAACAGCTATATCTCTGAAAATAATTTAAATTTTGACAAATTATTTTGTACACATATTCTTGAATAGTTAAACTTCGAAAATATTTAAAAACAATGAAATCGATTTTTCAAAAAATCTAAATTGGAATACTCCATAGTGTCTTTGGTAAAATTCATTTAAGGTGTATTTCACCATTGTTCTATTTTTATTCCATCAACTCGCTTTTACATTTAGGTGGCCCTTGGTGTTACGTTGAAACCGAAACAGATGATATTTATGAAAAAGATTATTGTGACATCCCTTTTTGTGACGATGGAGATTGTATGTTCTTCACAAGGAGTAACCCTTCTGATCACATTATTTACACCCATTTTACAAACATGAACGACACATTAAGAAATATTTCATTCGCTGTTAAAAGTTGGGAGCCAGACAATTTTTTGGGAGCAGAAATACGAATTGTATTGACCGTTATGAGTATACCATGTGATTCTACACAGTTGGATAATTTAGGAATCGGAGTTGAAGTTGTAATATCGAATAACGGTTTGTTCTTCATAAATATTTAAAGTAAAACATAAGTATTTAAAATTATAAAAGTAAGTGAATTAATTTATATAAATCTATTGCTATTAGGAAGCCTATTAAAGGCGGGCACAAAAGAGGAAGATTTTATGCGCGAAGAGACGCCTAATATTTTGACATCCAAGAAATTCACTAATATTTGGATTAACTGGGGTGGTGGTTATTTGTCCATGGGTTTAGAAGGCCAATCGAAACCTATTTTTATTAATGAATATGAGGAAAATGATAATCCTTTGAGTATAGAAAAGGGCCAGTTTTTATATTACAGTGTTTATGGAACAAATGTATTGTGGGATATGCCATTTTGTATGATTGATGATTATTGCGAAGTGCATATTACCTACAGAAGTGATTTCAAAAGATTTTGGATGCTGGAGAAAACTAACACCACCTATGATTTAAAGTTTTACGTTCGTGCTCACCAGGAAGCAGCTATTAATTTTAAAAATAGTCCAACTGTCGATTATCCCAGAGTAAGCTAGTTATAAACATTATCTCAATAGATTTTATTTTTTGTTACAATACTAAATAAAACTCTAATTTTAAGGTCATAGTGGCTTTATCAAGTGGTGTTTCGCAAAAAACTAGTATAACGTATCAGGCAATGGCTAATTCAACACCAGCCGTTTTAAAAGAAATTTTTGTAAAGAATATTTTAAATTATTGGCAATTTCACGAGTTTACTATTTCGATATTCGGAGATCAATTGCAACTATTTTGGGGTCGTGAAATCGGCTTGCAAATGTTACTATCGGTTAACCATGAGGAATTCATGAAAATGCGATGGTTTTCTCCCGGTTCGAATCAGGTTGAGGCTCACTGGACTTTCTATTGCTCCCCCGATAAAAGTCAAGAGCCACCTGAGGCTTGGCCTCCAGATTGTTCTTTGACCCAGGTTATGTGATCAGTAAATATACTTAGGGATCGTTCAAGTATTACGTAAGCAGATTTATTACAATTATTTACCCCCGCCTCTCCTTTGTCAGCAAAAGTAAGCAAAAGTTCTTACCCAAAATAAGCAAATCAATAAGCCCCCCGCCCCCCCTACAGTGCTTACGTAATACTTGAACGGCCCCTTACATTTTTCCAATCTTTTAAAATTATACACAATTCTCATTAAAATATAGCAATAATGCTATTAAACACATTTAATTAAATCAAGTATGCATATAATTGAATAAGAAG